TGTTCTATATATGAGCATTTTCTTATATTCATAGTAATCAGATTAAGGTAGTAAAATGCACGAGGATTGCATGTGGAGTCCCATGATTCTCTGCTACTTCGATGGAACAAAGAACTATTAATCTTTATCTGTGTTTGTATGTGTATGACCTTGTATACGTGACTTGACAATAAGTAATGTGTGACTAATGTATGACTGAGACAAAGGGTCTTTTGCACATTAGTAGTAGGATACAACATGTGTTAGTAATGGGACATAGAGCGAGTCAACTATAAAGAAGAAAGGATGCCCTCCCACTCACTCTCTGTATGACTGTTGACCTTTCCTTGCAAGAAAAATTATATAAATAACCTTTAAAGACAATTGATACATGTTTGTCTCTTATTCAGTGATGTAAAATTGTTTGCCACCACAATTAGGAACGTAGCCTGGTCTAGGATGAAGGAACGCTTTAACCACACCAGGTGCAAATCCCAAGCATGAAGGTGAAACCGACAAGGCTTGCAGATCTCCTCTTCTTTTAAGAGAAGTGATAGCGAGGAGGGACTAAGCTTTTAAGGTCAGAAACTTGGCCGGAACCTCCTCAATGGGCTCGAAGGGAGCCCTATAAACCACTGTCCCGCAGGCTTCTAGCACATAATGACAGTCCTCAGATCAGTCTCGGGCCTTGAAGGCTGCGGCTGAGAGCACGGCATGTGTGTTCTGCAGAATTTGTTTATGGTGCTTCAGTCTGGGACACAAAGTTCAGACTCATTTGTTTCTGGGATCAAACCCTCAAACTTGGGTTTAATCTATTAATCTTCCTCCAGATTCACGTGGAAACTCTGTAAAGTGATTATATATATATATATATACACACAGTTGTAGCGATTCTAGCTCAAATAAAGGGAATATAATTTTAATAACTGGTCATGAATATGTCCAGGAATCACATACATAGATTAAAATGACCCGTAAAGGGAATACGTTGCCAATGTATCTGTATGGACACTTAAATACAACGGATTATAATCAATTATCCATACAGGTAGGCAAAATTAGATCAATTGGATATATCAATAATCAATCACAACGAATTAAAATTAAATATTAATATGTCAATTGTCTAGGATAGATCGATTGCAAGGATAACCCTTATGGAATTAATTTGTTATCGAATAATCTGTTCGTCCGGCAAACTGATTGTACGATCTTTCATCAACCCTCAAGAGAAGTTATCCTTATAGACTCGCAAGAAAGGCTATCTTTCTGGCCCTGAAAAATAACTTTCCTGTTTTATAAAAATCCTAATTAAAGTATCAACAAATTTTAAAGCTTGCAGCTTAGATCGAACATTTAAGCGACTTCGTAATATGAGCAACAGACAGAGTCAATAAATGAATTTAATGAAGGAGAACTACGTATACCGGTGCCTAACGTTACAAGGAATAAATGTATATACACCAAAATAAAGCAACAAACAATGAAAGAAAATGAGAATAAGAGAGTGATGATAGGAAAAGGGAGAGAATGATCAGTCAGTTATGCAAAATCACAGACTAAAGGAACCTTGAAAGAGAGACAAGATATCAAATCACCCTAAATGGGGTAAACAAATCTTAAACGCATTGAAAGCTCGATAAAACTTGCAGATATGGTTCTCTTGTGTTGCTGAATAAGGAAGGCGCGTTTGTGTCTCGGTCCTTCGGAGCGTCACACGTTCTCTGTGGTTCTTCCGGGCGAACGGAGGCGTGGCGAATTTAAAGGTCCCCTGAAGTGAAGTTACTCAAAGAAAAATAATTCAGGCTAAGTTCGAATCTGCGATACGAATCTGTTTGAGGCTCACGCGTTCGGGTTTATGGCTGTTTGTTTTCTCTCGCGTATGCCACAAAAGTGTCCATGGGAGCACTTAGGCACTGTCTCTCTGGCGCCCTACTTGTGAGTTATCCAAGTTTCCGGTTTCCAAGTGTTGGAATGCATGATTCACCCTGACGCTGTCCAGATACGCTACACAGTTTTATGCTAATTTCACTCTCTGAAGGCTGTTTGTTTGGAGCCACATTCACTGACCATTTCAGATTGTTTTTTAAATTAATAAGTGTGGAGATAGTGCCCTCTAGTGTACGCAGCATGACCATGGATATTTACTGTTTTAAATCAAACTTTTAATGTTGTTTATGTGTCTATGTGGTGTTTTTAATATGCTTTAATCACACCATGTGGAAGTTCATAAGTCGACAGCATTGCTGAGTATTTTCTCCTTAAAACTGCAGTGAACCAAAGACAGTCTCAAAAACACGGTTTGAAATCGCTGGTGTTTCTGACGTCACAAACGACCTTGTAACCAATCAGATCAACGTGTGATCGTCAACCAGTGGATCTCTGAGCTGAGGGAGTGAGTGGAGGCGGGGCTCATTTGCATATTCATAGAACCGCGCATACTAAATGAGGCAAGGGTGTAGAGTTACATTCAAGATATTTTAAGACATAAAAAATATGTTTTTAAGGAAAAAACTTTTAAATGTCATTTTGGTGATCAAAGATGAGTTTTAAGGGATACGATTATTGACTACAGGGGGACTTTAAAAACTTTAGTTATTACATGGGATTTAAATTTATTATAATTTTCCATGTTGCATTTTAATATCTGGTAATTTGAATATACCTTCATGCATCTTTAAGACATTTTTACATAAGAAGTGTCAGGAATATAGGTTGATTGTTCTTTCAGATGCCCGTTTTGTAAACTAAAAAAAAGAAATAGAGTAAAAAAAAAAGGAGTTAGCATTAAACACAGGTGTAGATCATAAAACATTACTTTTTTTGCTCAATTGTCTCCAACAGGTTCAATGCAACTTTAAGTTTGTTATTTAGAAATTATTTTAATAACATATTAGCAGTCAGTAAAAGAACATTAACAGTCAGAGTGCTGCAAAATTAAACATACAAGCACCTCGTTTGTCAAAGAATAATATCATAATACATAAAATAATAATAAATATAACAATAAATGAATAGCCGGGGGATTACTGTTGGTCTGTTTAATGTAGATTACCTGTCACACAAACTCACTGACAACCCGTTTTATGTATTTAGTTAATTTAATAGGGACATTGCATGTTAATGAACATCAGTATAAAAATACAAAATGTAAACATCCATTGCTCAATTACACCCGCAGTCCCTGAAAGAAAACACTTTTAAAAATAAACTCAGATTTCTTTGCATTTCAGTCCTTTTCATTAATTCTTACTTTAAAGAAAGAAACATGTGAAAATAAATATTCATCAACAACATTTCAAATAACGGCAAGACTTTATAATAAGGACTTGTTTGTTATATTTCTAAAGCATTTGTCTTATCTTATATAATTGCTCATTGTTTGTTCAGTGCATTAACTTATGTTAATAAATTCAATTTTTGATTTTAATAATGTTTAAATTAACAGTAAGTTTGATAAACGCTGTAGAAGTATTTGTTAACATTAGTTTATGCATTAACAAACAATGTGCAGTGTATTTCTAAAGCATTTATCTTGTTTGTCCAGTGCATTAACGTTAAAAAATTACATTTTTGATTTTAATAATGATGTTCAAATTTACATTAACTTAAGCCCTATTTGCACTGGATTAGTATTATCGTGTGTGATTTAAAATACTATCCAAACTCTCCAACACAGCCTCCATTCTTGACGAAAGTTGGATAAAAAGGCGCACAAGAAACAAAAACCTTGAAAAAATTATATACGACCCCTTCAAATCACAGAGATACCGATTCCCACGGGACTAATATTATCACAGAACCTCGGTGATCGGCGAAATATGGTAGGTCATTTGCTTAACAAATCACAGACATGGGCGATTCGCACGGGATTAAGATCACAGACAACCTCCGCAATTACTACACATGACTAGAGGTCACCAGGTAACACTAATCCCGTGCGAATGGGGCTAAAGATTAATCAATGCGGCAGAAGTATTGTTAATTTGGTAGCTCGTGTTAACTAGGGCTGTAGTCAAGACCACCTTTGTCAAGTCCAAGACAAGTCCAAGACCAGGACTAGTCGAGTCCAAGTCAAGACCGAGTCCAAAAAGGTTCGAGTCCGAGTCAAGACCGAGTCCAGGACAGGAAGAAATCTTGACATTATGACATTAAATGACAATCATTTTGGGTTATTATTTGTTGATCTAAAAGCAAAAACAATGATTTTTAAGTATAGACATTCCCCTTGATTTCATATAATCTTCTAGTCTAAAGAAAAAAGAATGATGACATATGGTGATACCTCATAATAGCAGTGTACAAACACCAACCCACTACTATTACCACTGCTAGGTAGCCTTCTGAGCATTTGAGCGACTAAATGACAATATAGCTTCACTCCAGTAAAATATATCTGTGGTAATTTCTTCACGTTAAACCGAACTTTTATTTTGACGGGTTTCTGAGTGTATCTGACGATGAAATGCTGAAGATAAACGTGTACTTGAGTATGTGTAGTACACGAACCTGCGGCACCCACTTGCAGAGACTCGCTGAACAATCAGATTTGATAGCAGTCTTTAATATTCACAGTGACTAGTCCATATAGCAATTTCATATTATGATCGGCAGTGTATAGACAGATCTGTTATTTCAGCTATGCGCCGGTATTGCAGTAGCAAATAGTAGAAAAGAAATCACACACGTGCAGGTCGTACTTGTCAATGACGGGCACTACAATCTGCGGAGGTTCCTGCGGGTGCATACTACAATAATACGGTACTGGGAACATAAAAAAGACACCTGGACTCGGTCGAGACCAAAAGCCATATTTGGCAAGACCAGTGGCCGAGACCGAGATAAGTCCGAGTCCGACAGCCCTGGTGTTAACTAATAACAACCTCATTGTAAAGTGTTGCACAAATTATAAACGTCTCCTAAAAGCACAAGCATAGTTTAAAAACGTGTCTCCGTCATCCTCAAGTCATGAATGTATAACTTATGATTAAGATTTAAAATGCATTGTCAGATGATGATGATTGTGTCCGGTGTTTACTCCTGCTGCTCCAGCACGAGGTGCGTGATGCGGTCCAGGTCTCGGAGCGTCGGGTGACACTGCAGGATCATGACGATCACGCTCTCCTGGCCGGGGAAGATGGGGAGCAAACTCTGCTGCAGCGCCAGCGTCTCCTCCACCGACCTCTCGCTGACCTCCTGACCTCTGCCTGACCCCTGACCTCTGCCCCCTGGGGTCCGGTCCCGGTACTGCAGGAGCTCGGTGTGAGCGCGGGGCGCGTGTGACGGAGCGGGGAAGGTGGAGGACGATCCTGCAAACGTGTGGCTGCCAGGAACAGGCGAACCGCTGAGAACACATTCACAAGAGTTACTAACTATTTGCTCTCCTATAAGAGAAAGACTGAGGAAACACAAGATTCACAAACTCAAGGCTGTGAAGCTCAGATATCAATATCTGCTAAAAGTGATCGTTGTTTTCATTTCAAAATACGTTTTTACAAATAAATGGCATCGTTTGGTGGATCTCCAGATAAACAGCGCTGTGTTTATCAGAAAAAAACAACACTAATGCAAACTTGTTGTTAATATTCAGTTATAATAATGATTTGAGTATGTGAGGGCTGTCAGTTAAACGCGTTATTAACGGCGTTAACGCAAACCCATTTTAACGGAGTCAATTTTTTTATCGCGCGATTAACGGTCTTTTTGGCCTAGCAAACTTTGCTTTTTTCACATGCTTTTGCAACAGGACGCGGCATGCGCTATAAAACCCATTAATTTCAATGGCTTGCGCCGCGCGAGGACGTTTTCTTGCTTCGTCCACCAAAGCGCAAGCGGATCTAGCTAGACCAGAAACAAAACAACAGGCACGCCGCACACACTCGTTGTTGGCTTGCGAGCCGGCCAAATAGTAGGTTAACGTTACGTTTTGAGTGGATGACGAGCGCGAGACGCCGAAATGGATGCCAATAAGATTCTGAATGGAAAGTTTACTTTTAAAAGTTGCCAAATGGTTCCATTGACGAGACCATTGGCCCCTCGTCAATATCAGGACCTCGTCAGTATCTCTTTCACCCTTTTATTGATGGACAGTGTTACATTGAGAGATTATTTGCTCCAAGTGAGAATGTTAGTGTGAAATTGAACACTGTATATGCCAATGTTGTTTTCAATAAAAAGCATTTGCACAAAGCAAGCCGATCCACTTTTCCATGTTGATAAGAGCATTAAAATGAGAAAAAATAATGGGACAAAAAGAAATCAAGAGACATTTAGAATAGATAAAAATGTGCGATTAATCGCGAGTTAACTATGACATTAATGCGATTAATCGCGATTAAATATTTTAATCGTTTGACAGCACTAATATAAAAACAATGCACTGTAAATTCTGTCAAAAACAGAAATAAATTATGCACACCACCATTCAAAAGTTTGAGTTATTATGAATAAAGTAATACTTTTATTAATCAAGGATGAATTAAATTGATCAAGAGTGACAGTAAATACATCTATAATGTTACAAAAGATTAATGTTCAAATAAATGCTGTTCTTTTGAAATTTATATTTATCAAAGAATCCTGAAAATTAAAATGTATCACAATTTCCACTGAAATATGAAGCTGTTTTCAACACTGATAATAATCATAAATGTTTCTTGAGCATCAGATCATCATATTAGAGTGATTTCTGAAGGATCATGTGACACTGAAGACTGGAGTAATGATGCTGAAACTCAGCTTTGATCACAGGAATAAATTACACGTTGCTATATATTCACATAGAGAACAGCTGATTTACACTGGAGTAATATTACACTGTTTTACTGTATATAGACGAAGCTTTGGTGAGCAGAAGAGACTCTTTCAGACACATTGAATAATCTCTCAGATCCCAAAGTTTTGAACAGTCGTGTATATCATAAGAAACACACTGATTTCTCGGTAGAGTGATTATTACCTGCTGTGTTTGTGCAGAAAGTCTCTCAGGTGCGGTCCGCCACGGCCCAGAGGATCATCAGGCAACATGAAGAGATCTCCAGCAAACACGTACTGTAGCAAACTGAGACACAAGCCGATCACTAATGAGAACACCTGTGTGTAACAGAGCTGCTCGTGGACGAGGTTACGAAGAAAGAGTCGATCCTGAAACGAGTCGTCAGTGATTCAGTCTCACTGCGTGCGTTTGTCACTAATTTGGGTTACACTTTATTTTAAGGTGTCATTGTTACAGTGTAATTGTACTAAGTAATATTAAGCAACTACATGCACTTACTATAGAGTTAGGGTAGGATTTAGTTGCATGTAATTATGCATCATTTACCGTTACATCACTGTAAAATAAAGTGTTGCCCTAATTTGCATAATGTCACCCGATTGGCTGAACAGCGTCTCTTAGCCCCGCCCTCAAACACTGTAGTGTATCTGAGACTGGAAGAGTTTGGTTCGTGTCGAGAAGACGCTGTTTTCTGCTGACAAAGCAAATCCACTTTGATGAGATTGATACGGTAAAACCCACGCCATCGCTACTGTTCGTATCACTAGCCGCGTTTCCATTACCCTTCAAATTGCGCGAATTGAAAATACGGACAAAAACACGTCAATTTCCCAAACACTCCCATTTATCACAATGAAGGTTTTACGCTCGCATGAGGGGGGTTTTCAGGCAATTCGAAAACAGCAATATTTAGCAAAACTCGCGTTTACAGTCACCTGACGTAGATGTGCGGTGTGTTTGGACAGAAGACGAGACAGAGTTCTTTATTAAATTCATAAAAGACAAAATAATTACAGGAATACTGGATTCTAAACCTCAAAGAAATGCCACAATTACGAGCTGGAAGCAGATCTGAGGGAGAAACTCCCAGAAACTCCTCATATGAGCCACTCGCAGTATAAGGGTACCATTAATGCTGGATAACACACATACGTCTCCTTCAGTTAATAATAATGGCTAGTGCGGTGGAAGGGATATACGTAAACTTACCAACATCCGTCGCCATGATTGTTGGAATGACTTATGGTGAGAAGAAAAAATGACGCTTTAGTCGTAAACATCGTTTAATGGAAACGCCGTCATTTCACATTTAGAAAAAATCATTTAGAAAAAAATCGTAAAAGTTTTGCGCAAATCTGTAATGTGTATCAAGAGCTGAGATTCAGATATGATAATGAGTGTTTGGTTTCTGACCAATCACAGCAGAGCAGCTCTCAGAGAGGCGGAGCTTAGAGAGACTGAATCTTTGAACGAAGCGTTTCAGACACTGAGAGAAAATATATGGATATTATGAGAGTGTTTTTGACCTTGGATGAATGCGAACCTGTTGTAAGAGACTCATTAATATAAACTGGAGTCTTAATAATATTATAACAGGGGCACTTTAAGCCATTGATAATTCAGGATAACTCTTTAAATGTGACTGTTTCAGAAATATACTTCTGTCTGTAATGCCACACTTTACACATAAGTTATGCCAGGGAAACTGAAGGTAAATGAGTGTAACGACTCTGAACAGTCGGATCTGAGGTTACCTCTTCTTTATGATGTCTCTCCACGCGGGCGACTCGTCCACTAGATCCCTCAAGTTGTCGTTCGTCACAATCACTCCGTTCGTCTTCTGCGCCAGCGCCAGCATGAATCTGAAGAACAAGCACTCGTTATCTGGAGAAATCAGCGTTTCACCACAGCTGCCACTCAAAACTTGTATTCAGGCACACATGAAAGATCTATGTGCTTGAATTGCATATAAAATGTCCTTCCGTTTGAATTACACAGTTACATAAACAAACTAATAAACTTAAAGCGCTCCATATTTGTCAGTCGAACATAACTGAAACTGATCAGATTTCATGGTACAGTTTATCATTAACTATTTGCTTTGATTTTATTTAAATAATTTTCAAAATGCATTCATTCAAATTGGTTAAATCAGAATAAATTATTGTGAAAACAATTAAAATCAAGTTAAAAAGTATAAACAGTCTGAAAATTAATATAATATAATAAAATAAAAAACTTGTCAGTCATACATATATGCATTTTTTTTTTTACATTTATATACAGGTCATATTTCTGTAATAGTACTAATAAACTGAAAGTTTTAAATATACAATAACCAGGTTTATACATTTATCATCAATAAATCCGGTTTACTTCAATCTCATACATTGTAACTGAGTGAATATTGCTTGTTTCACAGCTAGTCATATTTTTAACCATATTCATAAAAAAATCTAATTGTTTTTACAATGAACAGATTTATGCTGATTGTAAGCATATTTCAAAATATGATAATTTAAATAAAATCAGATACATTCAGATAATTAATAAAACTTTTTTTTGAGAGCAGAAATCTGTTCATTTATGTTTGACTGACATTATGTTTATTAGTTTGTTATGTTAAAACTGTGTTATCCAAACGCATGGATATTTAATATGCAATATATTTAAAATTTAGGCCTAAACATTTCAGGTCTTCTTATATGATGGAAATCATGACAAGAAAAACACAAGAACTTAAATTCTGATGATAAAACTGATAGTTATTGTTTGATGTGAGAGTTACCGGTCGTCGTATGAGTTGATTCTCTTGCCCTCGACCTCTCTGGAGGGAGTGTATGAGACGAAGCCCAGATCATGCAGTTCAGTCAGGTAATGCTTTTCTACAGGAAACACAGAGCACACAACATAATAAAAGACTGACCTTGTTTGCCCAGCACTGCTTAATAACACCATGATTTTACAGAATCTGCATATAATCATGTAGATCACATTTAATAAATTACACTTTCATGAAAACATCTTCAATTGGCTTGTTTACATGTTTGGGCTGAGTTTTCCTTGCATGACCAGCAGATGGCGTTTCGAGCGCTTCGGATCATTAGATTCAACTGATACAAGAAAACAAGTACATAGTACAAGCATAACACAAAGATAATCATTAGAGTACAACACAATAAAATACTAATGACTGTCTATATAAGCATTTTTTTAAAAGATGAGTTTTTAACAACTTCTTGAAACTGGCTAATGTGGGAGCATCTCTAACAATAAAAGGGAATTGCATTTCATGCATAGCTTTGTATGTTAGTGTGAGAGTTTTAAAAGCAATACGCGACTGAACAGGAAGCCAATGCAAGCTACAGAGCACCCCCGTAAGGTGAGCTACAGAGCACCCCGTAAACTGAGCTACAGAGCACCCCCGTAAGGTGAGCTACAGAGCACCCCCGTAAGGTGAGCTACAGAGCACCCCCGTAAGCTGAGCTACAGAGCACCCCCGTAAGGTGAGCTACAGAGCACCCCCGTAAGCTGAGCTACAGATCACCCCCGTAAGGTGAGCTACAGAGCACCCCCGTAAGATGAGCTACAGAGCACCCCCGTAAGCTGAGCTACAGAGCACCCCCGTAAGCTGAGCTACAGAGCACCCCCGTAAGCTGAGCTACAGAGCACCCCCGTAAGCTGAGCTACAGAGCACCCCCGTAAGGTGAGCTACAGAGCACCCCCGTAAGATGAGCTACAGAGCACCCCCGTAAGGTGAGCTACAGAGCACCCCGTAAACTGAGCTACAGAGCACCCCCGTAAGGTGAGCTACAGAGCACCCCCATAAGGTGAGCTACAGAGCACCCCGTAAGGTGAGCTACAGAGCACCCCCGTAAGCTGAGCTACAGAGCACCCCCGTAAGGTGAGCTACAGAGCACCCCCGTAAGCTGAGCTACAGAGCACCCCCGTAAGGTGAGCTACAGAGCACCCCCGTAAGATGAGCTACAGAGCACCCCCGTAAGATGAGCTACAGAGCACCCCGTAAACTGAGCTACAGAGCACCCCCGTAAGATGAGCTACAGAGCACCCCGTAAACTGAGCTACAGAGCACCCCCGTAAGGTGAGCTACAGAGCACCCCGTAAACTGAGCTACAGAGCACCCCCGTAAGGTGAGCTACAGAGCACCCCGTAAACTGAGCTACAGAGCACCCCCGTAAGGTGAGCTACAGAGCACCCCCGTAAGCTGAGGCCTAATTCTTGCAATGTTTCTGAGATGATGGAATGCAGATTTTGTAATACTCTTAATATGTGAGTCTAGTGTTAGGTCAAAGATCACACCAAGGTTACGAGCATAAGAAGATGGAAATACAACACTATAATCCATAATCAAATTAAAATGTCTCCCTTTGTAAATAGCCGTAGGTTTGCCAATGAATTCAATGTAAAAAAAAAAAAAGATGGTGCATCCACGTTTTTATTTCCGAGAGAATTTTAGAGGTGACAGTTGTATAACTTGATTTTCCTGCTAAGACAAAAACTGAGATCAAACTCATCCTGCAATAAAGCAATAAAAGGTACCCTGGACAGAAGATCTCAAAGAAAGAGCACAGCATATTGTCTTCAAGATATCTGATCATTCTCCCCTCTCCCCCCTTAACCAGGTGTTACCCCCTGGGGAACCTGAACCGACCCAAAACAACTCCAAAAAAATTTGTACAAGCCTTTAGTTCTGGTCTGGGTATTTAAGGGTACGTGGCAGAGCAGTCTTTTGGAACCTATAACCAGGAAAACCCCCATGCAGGGCTGTGTTAGTGCTTTCCTGTCGGAACACACACACACACACACCACTGTGTGTCTCTGTCAGGATTGCATTTCTTACTCTTGGAGTAATCTATGTGCAATTGATGTTATATATTTATTATTTCTGAATTGGCTTTTAATCATTTACGTGTGTGATTAGCATGATACATTTTTACCTAACAAATACAATGTTTTATTTGATTTATTATGCATTATTCTGAAATCATTAATTCTAGTAGATTAATGTGTAGTCTGGTGTTTCCACAAATCTCTGTCCAGGATAGATCAAACCGAAGAAACTAATGAATGGAGCATGGGGCACATCATTAGACCTTCTGATTTCTGACTATCACTGACTTAGCACCTTGTATGATGCGACTATTAAATAAATTACATCTTTTGATATGTGTCAGCCGTGAACGGTATCTTAAGGGTAAAATAGTGCGCACTGCACCCTCTGACTATTTCAGAACTGGCTAGTTTGTGTTGTGAGCTCACATTCGCGACATGTAGTCTCAAAGCGATACCGGGTCCGTAATGAACGAATATTTGAAACTATGGGATACCCAGAATAATCAAAGATCTAAATTAAATCATAATCAATATTAATGATTATTTTTTAATAAGACACACAATCTAAATTTGATTATCATTCAAAATTGGAGTCAGATTAAGCGTAGAGCTAAAGTAATATTTAAACTAAATTCAAATAAATTAAGTGAACTTCACTGGAGCGCTGAAAGACATACACGCATTATACCTTCGCCACGCCGTTGGATTCCGTCGTTGGGCCAATGGGTGGTACTTACACGGTAGGATCAGATTTGTAAATTTGAGTATCATCAGCATAAAGGTGATACCCCAAACCATATTTCCAAATTATTTGCCCAAAAAGAAGCATATAAACACTGAACAATATGGGACCCAGGACAGATCCCTGAGGAACACCATGGCAGACTTGTCCAATTTCAGATTTGTTGTTTCCCAAGACAACAAACTGGAAACGATCAGTGAGGTAAGACTTGAACCAGTTAAGCACAGTATACCAGTGATACCAAGCCAGCTCTCACACTTTGTCAAAAGCTGCACTGAGATCTAACAGCATCACACGCATCACACACATGACTAGCGTCGGCCAATAGTGAGCCTACGTTCTGACGTACAGCACAGAAGCGCTGCGCTGTTACACTACGTGAAATCACTCAAAGGCCCACACAGAAGAACATGAATAGTTGAATAAAGTCGTTATTTTAGTTTGTTTTGCACACAAAAAGTATTCTCGTAGCTTGATAAACTTAAGATTGAGCCACTGTTGTCACTTGGACTATTTTAACGATGTCTTTAATAACTTTTCTGGGCCCGCAAGTTTCAGTAACATAGAAGCCTATGGAGGAGTGATCCAGCTCTAAGATTTAATCAAAAATATCTTAATTTGTGTTCCGAAGATGAACGAAGGGTCTTACGGGGTTGGAACAACATGAGGGAGAGTAATTACTGACAGAACTTTCGTTTTTGGGTGAACGAACCCTTTACTGGGACAATACCAGTTGTAAAAGAGGTGTTCACAATGCTACAGATGAGAGGGCTAATTGCAGAGAGACACCCCTTAACAACAGATGCTGGGATTGGATCGAGGGTACTTGTAGTTGTATTCATTGCCATCACTAATTTTGAAATACAATCAATAGTGACTATGTTAAAACTGGAGAATGCAGTTTCAGGAAAACTAACTGGACAGGTCTCAGGAATTGCAGAGCAAGGTACCAAACTGATAGACTTCATCCATAAAGAAACTAAGAAATGTGATAATGATAACGGCGGAACTTGCGACCATAGTTTGCTAACGATGCTTTCGGGAAACACACCCCTGATCGATTCCTGCTTGATGGACAATAAAAATATTGACAGCCAATCAGAATCCACCTGACTTTGAAGGACTCGTGCATTTAAAGCGATAGGCGACAAAATTAGAACGGAGACATCAGCCTAGCACGTGTTTCATCAAAAAAAAAATAGGAAAAGAAGCGCAGTGGAATAGAAAACCGAGTTTTGTCTCAAGAAACTTATAGTTAACCTTATAGTTATCGTTCTTGGTGTGAACGAGCCTTGAGATGTCAATAAGGCGTGAAGTGAGCATCACCTTTGTTCTTGGAGTTATTCTTCTGCCTCCACTGAGGGATGAACACAGTGATTTCTCGATGTCCTCTTGCCCAGAAGTGTTGAACGGCCAGAGCGATGCCTCGACAGGAGAAGAACACTCCCAACCCGTGACTGTGGAGGATCAGATCACATTCACACAGTTTCGCTGCTCTAGTTCATGTGAGTAAACACTGAAACATTCACTCCCTAAAGGCATCATCAGCTGCTCAGAATTATCTTATCAATAATGTCATCATGTCTTCTCGTCACTGCAAAAGCGCTGTACATCCTCTGTATTTCCAGTACGAATACATCAATATGCAAGTCCTCCTGTAGTCAATAACTTTATCCCATTCAACTCATCTTTGATCAGCAATATTACCTTGAAAAACAATCTTCATGCCTTAAAATATCTTGAATGTAACTCTACACCCTTGCCTCATTTAGTATACGCGGTTCTATGAATATGCAGTCTCGTTTTAAAGTCCCCCTGTGGTGAAAATCCAGCTTTTAATGTTGTTTATGTGTCTATGTCGTGTTTTTAATATGCTTTAAGACAAACCATGTGTAAATTCATAAGTCGACAGCATTGCTGAGTATTTTCTGCTTAAAACTGCAGTGAACCAAAGACAGTCTCAAAAACACGGTTTGAAATCGCTGGTGTTTCTGACGTCACATACGACCTTGTAACGAATCAGATCAACGTGTGATCGTCAACCAGTGGATCTCTGAGCTGAGTGAGTGAGTGGAGGCGGGGCTCATTTACATATTAATAGAACCGCGCATACTAAATGAGGCAAGGGTGTCGAGTTACATTGAATATATTTTAAGGCGTGAAGACATTTTTTTCCAAGGAAAAAACGTTTAAATATGTAATTTTGGTGATCAAAGATGAGTTTTAAGAGATAAAAGGGGATTTAATTTAATATCTATTGAATTTGAATTTAATATCTATTTTTATTAATATTTATTGATTAAATGTAAGAATTTTACATAAAATATAATGCATACATCCAATTAGATTTGAATAATGGCATTTTTCTAACCTAACTACATAAATGAATTTTATTTTGTCAATTTTTTTTACATTTAATCAATTATTATTAAGTCAGTCAGCATAAAAACACACCAAATATAATCTAATTATCCATGTCGACAAAATATTCTGTCAATATGGCAAGTCGACCGAGACACGCCCTCTACAGCACGCATCATATTGCGATGTTTACCTTATTTAGTCATGTGACAGTGAGTATATTTTCCCACCGGTTAATCGACGTGTGACAACACCGGTATCACCGGCGGGGACTTTTAAATCGCTAATTGGTGAGTTCATTAGCCTATTATTCTTAATTAAAAACATAACAACGAAACAGTACATTAACAAATTCGCTTAAATAGGTGCTTTTACACCAAATATTCCGCCGTCATCATCTTGTCCGTCAGTTCTTCGCTCTCATGATGAATGAAATCTGTCTCCTGTTGCTGATCTGTGCAGCGACTCTCGTTCAGCTCACGATTTATTAAGCAGACACCGTTCAGTTTTTAATTGTAGTGTCTGTTCTCTAACTGAACTAAATGATTGAATGAATAAATAAAAAAAATATAGACTATCGTAGCAAGCCTACCTCATTGCAACATTGCTGCCGTCAATGATGACCTGACGCAGCATGGGGTCGCCAGGCTCATCCGACAGCTGCAGTTTGAATGGCGTCTTCAGGCTCTCGAGGAACCGCTGAGGTCCCGTGACCACAGACGCCTCCGACGCTCTCGGTTTGGGTGCGATGACGTGATTGGAGAGATTTGGGGATCCGAGATCTATGTTTGGTTTGATCCTCCGTGGAGGCGATTGTGCCGGCAGATTCCCTGGCTGTGCGTCCGGGTTCATGGTTTCAAAGGCGTATGTAGTCTGAGGCGGGCCTCTCACTGAGGGAACGCTTAACGGTTTGGACATGCTTAGCTTTGTCGCTCCGTTTCCGCTCCCAGAATCGACTTTTTCAAAATCTGCCACTGGATTCGTATCAATAGTCCAATCAGCCCGCTTTCCACCATTTCTTGTCCCAATCGCATGTTCGGCGAACTCTTGTTTCTGCAGTTGCATGAGCAGCTCGTGTGGCTTGAGCTCGGGTAGATTGCCAAACACTTCCATTACTCTGTCCTCGGTGTATCCACAAGTGGCCGCCGCCTTCTTCAACACCCCCAAGACGAAGTCTTCCTCTATAGCATTCTCCTCTCCTACTTCAATGGCCTCGTGCGTTTCGCTAACCACATTGTCTTTATTCTTCCGCTGGTTAGTTTTGTCGTGCTCCTGTTGAATCAAATCCAGAAGCTGCGAGGCTTCTTTAGGGCCGGTTCGGGCCAGAACACAGTGCACAACCTCTTCGGTGAATCCCATGGCGCTGAAGAACTTGAGAAGGTGCTCGAACTCCTCTTTGTTTCTCGCAGACGACGGAACAGCAGGAGTCTCGGATTCAGGTTCTGGTTCTGGAGACTTAGGTGAGTCGAGGGTAAAGCCTCTGGAAAACGGACTGTGGGATTCAATTCTGAAATCATCCGTGCCGTTAATCCTGTCATAAGCGGATTGCGGATGCTGGGAATGTGAGTTTTCTGCTTTATGATCATAAACGCTTCTCTGCACCGCTAATGATCCATTGGCTTCCAATGGGATTAGACCTTCCTGGTGCCGCTTTGCATACGAGTCCAATCCGGACTGCTTCACCAGGTCCAGCAGAGCCTCCTTCACCATCACCGGTAACACCAGCAGGTCGAGGGTGTGCCGGTCCTCCAGATTCTCAACCAGGGACTTGAAGGCCCGACGCGACTCCAGGGATTCTCCCGCTATCCCGATCTCGGCACGCCGTCCCTGGCTGCTCCTGTATTTCTCCACCAGGTCTGTGATGAAGGAGTAGGCTTTCACCACAGGTTCTGCCAGTCCGGTTATGAGGAGAAAGCCTTGGGATCCCAGCTGCAGGAGGGTTTAGAGACAGGTTTAACAAACAGAACCGGGATCATTATAAGCAATTCAAGAGCATAGTCACAGCAAATTAGTATGCATTTTAATTTTGTTTCTCAGGTAAACTTTATCTTGCATTTCATGCATTTTATTTCGCAACCTTTCAGATAACCTTCATCTTGCATGTTATTCATTTGTTCTGTATACATTTTTATTAGGGATGCAACGATTACCGATAATTCTTTATATTTTATATTCTTTATATAATGCCGATAACCGATATATTGGCCAATAAATCTAAATCCACATTTTTATATAATTTTTTTGTAGAGCCTAATTACAAAAAAAAGTCTCACCATTAAAATCCAATCTCCCAAACACACAATTAAAATGTTCTCATTATAATTTTATCTTGCCGATATGACAGACTTGTACTACTTAAATCTATTTTCCTTTTCAAAGTGATTTCAATCATTTTTCAAGTCATTCAAAACCATCATGGTGAACATCTGAAGTGTCTCAGCTGAAGGAAATAATACAGTATTTATCAGCTTTGATATTTCGATAGCCGATAACGATAACATTGAAAATGGACATGTATTGGCCGAAAACGATATGGTGGCCGATATATCGTACATCCCTAATTTTAATTTTGAAACATTTATCTTGCATTTCATTTTCTTTTTTTGGTTTCTCAGGTCACCGTTCTCATGTTACCTATATATTTAGGGGACACTAAAACCTGTAAGACTTGATTTTCCTGCTAAGACAAAAGCTGAGATAAAACACATCCTGCAATAAAGCAATAAAACGCATCCTGGAGAGAAGACCTCAAAGAAAGAGCACAGGACATCGCCTCGTCCAAACTTCTCTCCTTCCTTATCTCTGCATCCCCCTTTCCCCCTGATTCAAATCACATAAAGATCACTGAGAATATCTATATACCACATATGAGGTATCGTGTGAATCTATTGTTTTTTCCTTTTTACGTTTGGTATCATTTTAAATGTCGATTGGTAAAATGGTCTACAAAAACGGCTGAAGACGCATCTTTTTCGCCAACACTTGATCCATTAATACTAACACTATGGTAACACTTTATTTTGATAGTCCACTTTAGACATTCTACTAACTATAAGTAACTTTGCAGCTACAAGTCAACTTATTTTACTAACCCGAACCCTAACCTACCCTAAGTCTACTAATGCTCTAATGAGAGTTGACATGTAGTTAAAAAGTTACTTATAGTTAGTAGAATGTCTATCGAAATAAAGTGTAACCAACACTTTCTCTTTTATTCAATACTATATCTATTTATAAAAATTAAAAAATTAAAAGTACATGTACTGCGTTAGACTAAACTGGTAAGGGTCATAGCACTTAAGAATATTGTTAGTTTAACTGCTTCTACTGTTCTCGTTTGTAAGTCGCTTTGGATAAAAGCGTCTGCTAACTGAATAAATGTAAACTCTTACACTTGTAACACACTCACACACACCACTGACACTCACACACACCACTGTGTGTCTCTGCCAGGCACATTTCTCACTCTTAGAGTAATCTTTGAGCAATTGATGTTAAGTTGTTATAATTTCTGAATTGGCTTTTAATTGTGCAAATGGCATGATATATTTTTACTTCTGATTTATGACTATCACTGATTTAGTTACAGTTACTTCCCTTGAGCGCTGTAAAGACTTGTTTTTACCTTTTCCATCAAAATGTTTTGCAAATGCATAATTCCCATGCACAGAAACTTGTCTTAAATATCCACATAATGTAGATTGTGCAATGCACTCTTTTTTTTTTACTGGCGTCCAAGTGACAAACAGAACAGATTACCGAAAGCACACTTTTCCTTGACCGTCCACAATTTAACTAAAATGCCCTTGTGTTTTTTTTCAAGATACCGTTCAGTATATTCAAGTTATGCAGTCTTATTTAGTTTTGCAGTTAACCTTCATCTTGCAAGTTATGCATTTTTATGTAGTTTCTCCAGGTAACTTTATCTTGCTTCAAGGATGTTTAGATATTTCTCGGGACAGTAAGACAAAACACTGATAACGAGTAATGCATTGGAGTGTATGATATTTCCACCTACCACTATATGCGCAGAGGTGTTTTTAGTCAGGCAGTCCATGAACAGCCCTTTCGCACCACAGAACACACAGTGAAGCACCTCGGGAAACTGGAACTCTTGTTGGGCTTCCTGATTGACCACACCTTTCACGAAAATCTAAGAGTCGCATTACACACAAGGCGAGTAAATCAGCAATTCACACAATAGCAATAATAGACATAAACATGGTAGTACTTGGCGTATTGTGCACCTTTGCCGCCTCCACATCTGGTGCCGCCCCGCTCAGCTGGAGCCAGATGAGGCCGCTCTGAGCCGACTCTTCTTCTTCTGCCCCGATGGCCAGCGCGACCCCGAACACTCGCTCCACCGAGGGCCTCAGTGCCTGCAGGGCCCCGCGCAGCACACCTGCACAGGTGAACTCGTCCTCCACACACACACGGGACACACACTCCTCCAGAGCCGGGCCTGAGAGAGCCATGATCCACTCACTGATGGAGACACGAGGAACAGCGTCAGCAAATCAGAACACAGAGTTCTGCTTATGGACTCACACAAACGGCCTTTCCAAAGAACGTCTCTACACTGCACATTTAGCACTTTAGGCCAAACGCAACAGGATTATAGAGTACTTGTTTCTGACCATGACGGAATTGAAAAGGATTTCGGGGGTTTCGGCGTGCATGTTAATCAATGAGTGCATTCACACCGGGAGCAGGAGCGGCGCGTGAGCAGCAGTGAAGCGGGGGTTTCGGCTTCGAGTCTGTTTTTGGGCAATTCCATGCAAAGGTCATCTTTACCATGAATAAATAAAGTTTTAACCAAAAGAACAAAACCCTTTTTAAGTTATCTATTTAGGTCTGTAATATACTGTATTAATGTGCTTTAACAAAAATTAAGAAAATTGCCTTGTTTATCCACCAGATATGAGGTGAGCAACAATGCTTAAATTACATTTTTAACCAGCCATATTTCATGCTTTCAAAAAAAGGTATCAAAGACCCCGCTTTTTAAACTTATTTTTAACAGTAAGCATTTTGCAGAAAGATGGAGGCATGCCTGAGAAATATACTAATTTGGTCATAACAGCACTGCCTGTTGAATTTATAAGGGCTGTAATAAAGAGGTCTTGACGCTTCAGTGCACTGTCACGTCCATAACGTTTTAAAGGTTTAGTTTATTTAATATGACAATTATAAATGCAAATAACTTGAAACTTTATTTACAAAGCTAAATTATGTTTATGCTTATTAGGATAGACAATTCATCTCACTACTTTGCTCTGAACAACCATAATAATGCGTTACGGACGTGACCGTTACGGACGCTTCATATTAAATTCAGACTATTGTGATCTGTTTCAAGACAGAAATGATTTTGGCCACTTCATTTCAAGTTTTGTTTTGTAGAAGACTTTATTTAAAGTGAATTTCGTTTTTGTATAAATTGTAACTTAATTTTAAATCAAAGTTTCATCAACCAATTTCCTGGATTTAATAAATAAGCAAATATAGCATGGAGGTGCGATCACTTGCAACACGTAAACTTGAGCGCGTCTCATAACTGAACAGAATCATTTCAGACAGTCTTCTTAATGTGAAAATACAGCCATTATGCGTCAACAAAAGTGCCATGATGGTTTGATTGTTGATTTCCAAACAGATTCTATGTATTTCAGACGCGTCACATCCATAACAGGGTTTTTGTCACATCCATAATGTTGGTTTTTCCTCATAATACACTTCATAAAAATATATATATTTTAAACATTGATATTTTTATGTTCAGCTAAGACCTCTTCATCATGTGGATAGCAATATTTATACATTGGATTTAAAAGTTCACAGACTTTAAAGGAAATCGAACAGTATACCACAAAACTCTGTCATTTCCCGTCACATCCATAACGCATGCATATTTTCCTTTTTTGGGGGTGCTTAAATATATTTTAGAAAAACATATTTTGCCTGTAAATTCCCCAGATTGGGTGCTCTGAGAATATGCATTTCCAATTTAAATATTGTAAGATTTTTTTTTTTCTGAGACATTTCACCTGTCATTATGAGTTCAAATGTCACATCCATAACGCTGGAATTACCCTTTTGCTGCACTGCTCACGCTCAATTAAAGTGAAAGCACACTTTTGATGGACAAAAATAAATATGATTTCATACAAAAAGTGCCCAAAATGCACAGAATAAGCATGTCTAGTGAGTTTTAACAAGAACTTGAGTAGGCAAATTTAAAATAAAGACTCAAAAATATTTATAAAATATTTAGGCTACCCGGTAAAAACTTGTTTTTAATTATTCAGTTTGGGTGAAAGTTGTGTATTATATAAAAAAATAAAATAAAGTAAACTAGCCAGAAAATATTATATATAAACGTTATTTTAGTTTATGTAACACACAGACAGCTACATAGGCTAGCACAACCCAAATCAAACCCGAGTGTGTGGTTTATTTGTGTGTTTTGTTTTTAATCCGTGGAGTTGCAGTCTTGTAAACACATCGGACTGAAACTAATAGATTGGAGCCATTTTCTGGGTTGTTTTGTTGTTTAACATTTATGCGAATGTTGTACCATTACAAACTTTCAAGCCTATCAATGTTATAAATGACCAACTTCTAAAAACAAATGTATAGTTGTCTTTGTAAAGAATTGCTTGCTTATATTATGTAGCGTTGGAGCCGCTGCTGTGACACTGTACAAACGCTTCCAGTGTGAATACTCTCGCGCAGATGCAGTGACGCTGACGCGCTGCTCAAGTGCCGCTCACGCTTGCGGTGTGAAACCGCCGTAAGGCTGCATCGAAAGGTAACTTCGCATCTGCTGCCATGTTGGATCCATCCCTGATAGCACACGTACATCACGGAGACGTCTTTTGATGTGTGTGTTTACATCTGGAAGACATATTTTTTAGAGTGTTTGCTCATCTGCAATACGTCTATAGGACGTTTCCTGTCAGATGTCAAATAGACGTTTGGAAGATGTCTTTAAGATGTAATGATTTAGAATGTATGTTAAACTGACATCTTAAAGATGTCTATCAGATGTTAGTAAACAGCAGATACTTTCCAGATGAAGTGATCTTTAACAGACATCTTGCCGACGTACGTGTGCTATCTGGGATAGGTATAAACAAACTGCTTCAGTGTGTCGCATAGACGTCGTCATCGTCTTGCTGCTCCCTCCTCGTTCTGTGATTGGTTCCCTAGATGAGGCGAAAATCTGGATCATGGAATCCAGACTACCTAGCAGTGTGAATAAAATCGCGTTGCGGCAAGGCAGTATGGGGAAACCCAGGCTATAGCAACATGCCACTCGGGCCTCAAACTGATATGCCTGTGTGTGTGTGTGTGTGTGGCTGTATAAGTCATCGTACATTTAAGATTGATCTTTTTACTGGGATTCCTCGGTTATTAAACTGTCAAAACATCTAACACCAAATGTCTAATTTTATATTTTCAACTCAAAACAAAAACTATAAATCTTTATGATATAAGTCCACAAATCCCCCATTAACAAAACTTTGACATTCAACATAATACTGTAACGTCATAAATAACTATTTCCAGAGATACAATTTAGATCAGTTAATCAAATCTCTCAAATTTTAATATTCAGATGAAATTAAAAATAGGATAGTCATTAATATTCATGCGATACTCAAACATCGGCCGACCGTTTAAAGTCCAACTGGGTGCATCATAATATTGTCCAATAAGCGATAACGACTGAAAGCGATTCGTTAGACTAACAGAAACAGTTTCACATGACAGCCTTGACAAACAAAAACACAAGAATAAACTGTACAGGGTTATGTGTATGATATGTAGGACTGAAGGACAGTAAACATGTGTTCTTACCATAATCGCTTATAACTTTACACTGCGTCTTTTCTCGTCGTGTTTGTGAAGCGCTCGCGATCTGGATTATAAACACACCCCGAATTCAATCTAGATCGAGTCCTTCTCGGCTATAAACGGCTCGTTTTGTTTCATGAATCACCCAGAGCTTTAAGGAGAGTCGTTTGTCCACATTCAGGACTGGTCATGGTGATTGTTGTCGAAATGAAACTAAAGGGAAAGTTTGCGATGGGACTCTACCGTAACTGACGTAAAGGACGCGCGTCAGGAATCGAATCGGCGCGCTTTTGTTTTGTCACGTACGTCAAACACACGACTGTTGAACTGAAACGGTGTCAAAACACCTCATATAACGTTGTATATGAAAACGAGTGAAAAACACATGAACTATATCTCCTCGCAGACTGTATCATGTCTTCTTTCAGACACAGACACATCTTGTGGGAATTTCCACTGACGTAAACCCACTTCCGGTAAGTCAACAGAAGTAACAGGGTCATCAACCAAAACTGACTAAAGTTGTGTTTAAGCTCAATATATGGGCTTTAATGTTTCTAATATTTAATATTTTTTAACATTTCCTTTTTACTTCTATATCAAAATGGGATCATTTGTTATTTGTTAGTTTAATAATAAATACATTTATTGCGGAACGAGTAAAATACACCAGATTTTAGGACGAACACAACATTAAAAAACAAAGGTTAAAACACAAGGCAAAATATCCCCATTATTTCAAAAGAAAAGTCACGTTTTTTTTATGTATCTTTTTCTATTGAAGAAATATCCAAACAAACAATAGAAGAAAAAAAAGTCCAGTGTAGTTTTAAAACATAAATAAATAAATAACGCATCTACGTTTCTGTAACTTTTCCTATTTTTAATTTGATAAAGAAATACCAGTTTTCGAAGTGAATGCGGAAACGGTGGTGATTGGAAATCGATGTAAAATGTATAAAAATGTACTAGCCTTAAAATAAGTATCTGTATGGAAACCCTTCATAAGAAAAAAAGATCTCAACTATGCATAAAAGTCGAAATTATGAGTTAAAAAGTAATAATTAAGACTTTAAATGTCGAAATTATGATTTACTTTTTATCCCAGTTCACTTTGGACTTTTTATCTCCTAGTAGTCTTGACTTAGTAGTCCTATGACTCGGTGTGTCATAATTTCGATTTTTCCTCTCATTATTACGAATTATGAAACAATTTCGACTTTTCATCTCATAAATGTGTCATTTTATGACTTAATTTCAACTTTTTATATCACAATAAAAACTAACCTTAAAATGTCTACTTTTTATGTCATAAAAAGTCATTTATTTATGTCATAATTACGATTGACCAAAGCATAATTTGTTTTTGTGTTTCCTCTCAGGTTTCGGAAACGGACAGGTAAGATGAGGTGACGTCAGTCTTAAGAGCGCGCACGCGCCTGTGATGTGTGTGTGTGATGGGGAAGTGAAACAAACGAACTTCACGATGTGGATTGGAAGCGTCGCCATTCAACAGGGAACTTGGAGAAAACAGCGATGGTCACAAACCTATCATGACATGTTTAAGCTTTAAGACTGTTTAACTGTATCGATTATCGATGGACGCCGGTCAGTTCTGCCGCAGACCGGAAGTGGTTAGTGACGACAGTCTGCAGGGTTTTGTGAAGATCGGTTGCGGGGGATTCGGTCAGATTTACCGGGCCAAACACACGGGATGGGTCATGGATGTGGCGATAAAGCTGCTGCTTTATAAAGACGGGTAAAGTAGATTCTACAGCTGTTTCCAGAGCTTTTCTAGTCAGGGTTTCCCTTGTGACAACATGCCCCGTATGGAGCAACATCCGCTACTGGTCAACTGACCACAGTTTGGCAGGAAGTGGATCCTGGTTACCATTTGCATTACCATATTTACATTTACAAAGACTGTTACATGCTAATAACAGGGTAACCCTGCTAATATTGTAAAGATTAATTGTGTGTTTTGTGTTTTTTGTTTTATTTTTTTGATTATTCTGTATAAACATGTTTGGAAAAATATATAATGATGTATCAGTATTGATGCAGAACAAATTTTTTGGCTTAAAGTGAAATTATGACGTCGACATGTATTTCAGTGCTCTATGAAAATACACAATAAACATGTTAAGCCACACAATCGTTGAGAAATAATAATAATATGTTGGTATTATTGATATGTCGGAAGTCAATTATGACATTAAACGTTACAATTATGATATTTAAAAGTCGAAATAATGAGATAAGTAGTCAATATAATGAGATAAATATGAAATTATGACATGAAGTAATAATTATGAGATAAAAAGTCAAGCTTATGACTGAACAACAATTTCGATCAATCACATTTATTTCAGCGCTCTATGAAAATGCACAATAAACATGTTTAGCCACACAATCTTTGAAAAGTATATAATAATATATCGGTATTGATGCAAAAAAAAAATTGTAATTTTGACATAAAACGTCAAAATTATGATATTAAAATGTCGAAATTATGAGATAAAAAGTCAAATTTTTAGCGCTCTGTGGAAATGCACTCTAAACATGTCTATTATTGTGGAGATGAATTGCGTGTTGTGGTTTACTCCTGTGCCTGCTGTGGTCTGGCTGAGCAGGTCCACGTCCTCCATCCAGAGGGAAGCAGCGCTGATGTTCCAGGGAGGGAACCCCAACGTGATGCGCATCTTCGGCCTGTACGAGGGCCGGCTGGGGGAGTCCCGGCTCCCGCTGCAGTCCGGGCTGGTGATGGAGTTCATGGCCAGGGGCTCGGTGTCCGGGCTCCTGCAGACGCTGGCCGGGCCCCCGCCGTGGCCCCTGGGCTTCCGCATGGCTCATCAGATCGGCCTGGGCATGAACTTCCTCCATCACCTGAGTCCTCCACTGCTGCACCTCGACCTGAAGCCCAGCAACGTGCTCCTCAACCACAGCCTCGACGCCAAGGCCAGTCCACGCCGCTACTGGGGCACTAGAAGCATGTTGAGCCACACAGTCTTACAATATATATATTAAATATATCGGTATTGATGTCAAACTACATTTTTGACTAAAAAAGTCCAAAATATGAGATGAAAAGTCACAATTATGAGATAAAAAGTCGAAATGGCATAAAGACGAAATAATGACATATGCATAGTCATAATTATGAGATAAAAAGTCAAACTTATGACTGAACAAATTTTCTCACGCACATTTATTTCAGCGCTCTATGAAAATGCACTATAAACCTGTTGAGCCACACAGTCTTAAAAAAATTCAATAAAATATCGGTATTGATGTCGAACACATTTTTTTACTTAAAAAGTTAATATTTTTTACATTAAAAATATGAGCTAAAAAGACGAAATGATGAGATGAAAAGTCATAATTATGAGATAAAAAGTCAAAATGACATAAAGATGACATGCATGAAGTCATAATTATGACATTAAAAAGTGAAAAATATGAGATAAAAAGTCAAAATGATGAGATGAAAAGTGAAAAATATGAGATAAAAAGTTGAAATTATGAGATGAAAAGTGAAAAATATGAGATAAAAAGTTGAAATTATGAGATGAAAAGTGAAAAATATGAGATAAAAAGTCGAAATGATGTGATGAAAAGTCAAAATGATGAGATGAAAACAAATTTGACAACAAATTTTATCACAAAAATGTATCACTCTAGGAAAATGCACTATAAACCTGTCGAGCCACACAGTCTTTAAAAAAATTCAATAAAATATCGGTATTGATGTCGAACACATTTTTTACTTAAAAAGTTAATATTTTTTCATTAAAAATATAAGATAAAAAGACGAAATGATGAGATAAAAAGACGAAATGAGATAAAAAGTCGAAATGATGAGATGAAAAGTCATAATTATGAGATAAAAAGTCGAAATGACATAAAGACGAAATTATGACATGCATGAAGTCATAATTATGACATTAAAAAGTCAAAAATATGAGATAAAAAGTGAAAATGGTGAGATGAAAAGTGAAAAATATGAGATAAAAAGTTGAAATTATGAGATGAAAAGTGAAAAATATGAGATAAAAAGTCAAAATGATGTAATGAAAAGTCAAAATGATGAGATGAAAACAAATTTGACTGAACAAATTTTATCACAAAAATGTATCACTCTAGGAAAATGCACTATAAACCTGTCGAGCCACACAGTCTTTAAAAAACAAACAAAATTTTATATCGGTATTGATGTTGAATAAATGTTTTTAATGACTTAAAAACAAATTCGACATCAATACCGATATATAAATTATTTTTTTGCTTATAATGTCAATTATGTCATAAAAAGTCGAATTATGACTTCAATTTTTTTTTAAAAAGTTGAAATTATGACATTGAAATGATGATATTAAAAAGTCAATTATGACATAAAAAGTCAAAATGATGACGTTGAAATTATGAGATAAAAAGACAAATTGAGAAAAAAACTAAATTATGACATACTAACTCATAATTATGAGAACAAAAATCAAGCTTATGCCTGAAGCCCAGAAACGTGCTTCTCAACGACAGCCATTCGTTTATTACTTAAAGCTCACTTGAAGTTCTTCGATACCACATCAAAAACTACCAGCCCAACTGATGAAGTTCAAACATTATTTAAAATAAGTGAACGGTCATGCACAAATTACAAGCAGAGATGAACACTAAATAACAAAGTTACAAAGTCTAACAGTAGTAATCGGGTACAGAAATGAATAATTAAGCGTAAATGTAAAATAACACTATTTGTTCACTGTAGAAATTAAATATAGTTAAAAGGTTGAGATGGATTATCATGATTAATACCGTTCCCAATTATAAAAAATCCTATCCCAGGACATTAATATAATCCCGCGGTGACTAAAGAGCCTATCCTTTAGTCGTGTCCTCAAGAGTTAGGTGATCAGTCTATTCGTATTCTATTATAAAATAATAGATTTCCCCTTTATATTATAAGTCTACCTTTTGTGGTACTCTTCAACCGTGTTTGCACTATAACAACTTGTCATACATATATCCCATACATGTATACATGTTACATGCTGCCTCTTAGGCTAGGCTGTTTGATCAACCACATCTCCCAGTGATTATTCTTATCTTGCTCACCCTCTGGTGTCGTTCTCTCCAGATCCAGCTAGAAGAATGTGACTCGCACTCAATGATCCAAGGTCCAGTCAGATGATTATAATAAATGTTTTACAGAATTCATTAAAATAATCAAATGAAAAGGAATACTTGTTACAGATCATAAATGAGTACTAACTAACAGATAGATACTAGCTAGGCTTGAAGCTTCTTGCCTTTTGACAACTGCTGGTGTGTCAGCTAAAAGGTTTTAATTTCGTCTAATGTAATAATTATGACAGTGGAAATTGACAAAAAGTTGAAATTATGACAAACTAAGTGATAATTTTGGCTTTTATATAATAGTTATATTGAGAATATTATAATTATGTGTTTGGGGCATGGATTTTAATGGCAAGACTTTTGTTTTTGTAATCAGGCTCTCAAAAATGATAAAAAAATTGATTTATCGGCAAATATATCGGTTATCGGCTTTCAAATATAAAGAATTATCGGTTATCGGCTTTCAAATAAAAATAATTATCGGTTATCGGCTTTCAGGCTTTAAACATAAAGAATTATCGGCTTACAAATATAAAGAATTATCGGTTATCAGCTTTCAGGCTTTCAAATATAAAGAATTATCGGTTATCGGCTTTCAAATATAGAGAATTATCGGTTATCGGCTTTCAAATATAAAGAATTATCGGTTATCGGCTTACAAATATAAAGAATTATCGGCTTTCAGGCTTTCAAATATAAAGAATTATCGGTTATCGGCTTTCAAATATAAAGAATAATTAGTTATCTGCTTTCAAATATAAAGAATTATCGGTTATCTGCTTTCAAATATAAAGAATTATTGGTTTCAGGCTATCAAATATAAAGAATTATCGGTTATCGGCTTTCAAATATAAAGAATAATTAGTTATCTGCTTTCAAATATAAAGAATTATCAGTTATCGGCTTTCAAATATAAAGAATAATTAGTTATCTGCTTTCAAATATAAAGAATTATCGGTTATCGGCTTTCAGGCTTTCAAATATAAAGAATTATCGGTTTCAGGCTATCAAATATAAAGAATTATCGGTTATCGGCTTTCAAATATAAAGAATTATCGGTTATCTGCTTTCAAATATAAAGAATTATCGGTTATCTGCTTTCAAATATAAAGAATTATTGGTTTCAGGCTATCAAATATAAAGAATTATCGGTTATCGGCTTTCAAATATAAAGAATTATCGGTTATCGGCTTTCAAATATAAGAATTATCGGTTATTTCTTTCAATTATAAAGAATTATCAGTTATCGGCCAAAATTTTCATATCGGTGAATTATTTATCATTACTTAATGCATTAACTAACATAAAAAGTAATGCATGTATCCTTATAGGGAAGAAATGAGCTAATAATGTCTGTTTTTGTTTACAGCTGTGAAAAGTGATGAAATTGTTATAAAAGCTTAAATGTCTGATTCGTTTACACAAATCATGTTTTTAATTTAGTGCAGAATGCTGAGTTTAAGTGTTAAGAGTAATCCTGTAGCGTGATGTAAACCCTCCACATGTCTTTGCTGATGAGTGCTTCCGTGGGCAGGTTCAGGATGGTATCATCGTCACCAGGACTAGCTTTAGCAGATTCTGGCGTTATGTAACGCTGTGTGTCGTCTGCAGATCACAGACTTCGGCTTGTCCCGAGTGGCTCGCAGCGTGTCGAAGTGTTCGGGAGAGCGAGAGGAGGACGAGGGAGGAACGCTGATCTACATGCCTCCTGAAGCACTGCAGTCCGTCAACTACAAGCCCAGCACAGCCTCCGATGTCTACAGGTACCACAGACATCCGACCGCGATACCACCTCAACATCGCCCCACAACACCTCGTCCCTTTATAAATATATTGGTCTTTTGCAATTTATGTGCATATATATATATATATATCTTTTTTGTTCTTTTGCAATGTATGTACTAGAGCCCGACCGATATATCGGCGGGCCGATATTATCGGCCGATTTTAGGCATTTTCCTAACTATCGGTATCGGCATTTATAATGGCCGATAAATGAATATTTAAAAAAATGCGGGTGCGGTGATTCATGTAAGGGTGGCGCTGCCAATAAAGCACCTAAAAGCTGTCACAAGAACTGGCAAAAGTAATGATTATGAATACAACAAATATAGCAAGGAGACATTTTAATTGTTTATTAATAAACAAGTGTTTTCAGTCAGTGTCAGCCAAAGATGAAGTTGACGATGCTGACTCGCGATCTTCAGTGAACGCGCGCCAGAGAGAAATGCACATTTCATACGATTACATGAGTCTGTCTGTCTTTCGTTTTGAATTGTTTTGTTTAAAAGTAGACATTTCAATATAGATATATTTCAATTCTCAGGTCTATACGCTGAGTTTCGGTTCATGAGACGAGCTCCAGTTCACCCGCAGGCGCCTCCGTGTCGAGATTATCTATCGTCTGCTAAATTTACTTCTTATAAATTAAATCCAGGCAAATGGCTGAGGAAACATTGATTAAAATTAAGATACAATTAATACAAAACGAAATTCACTTTGAAACGAAAGGTTTTGTGCTTTCTGTTTGATGTCTATGTGAAAGTTTCAAAGCATTAGTGCCGCTTTCAGAGCGCTCACGTCCGTAGTGCTGAACTGTCGCGTCTGTAACATTGTTTTTTCCTCATAAATGCGAACACGAAAAATAAAATAAAATAAAATGAATATTTTATGTAACCTGTGGAGACTGAGAGCCAACCCTCTTCATCCGGTGGGTAGTAGCCTACTTGTGATTTGCGCAGTGTAATTCACAGAATTGATTTCTCTGCTACAAGCCTGTCACGTATTGTGTGAGCTTGTGACTATTGCAAGCGCGCAGCTGAGAAGTCCTGATTATATTGTCTGCTATATTTAGGCCTACTTCTTATTTATTAAGGCAATTGGTTGATGAAACATTGATTAAAATGCGTGGCGCGAGCGATCTCCGACAGTAAACTGATTCTGCTTTGTCTAGGGTAAACAGCTGTTGCGACGCGAGCAGTAACGGCCGCGTCCGGTGTAGACACAGTGTTAAAGCTCATTCTGCCTGATAACGCTACGTTACAACATCAAGCAATATTCCAAAAATGTATATAATTATAACACTTTATATAGGGCCATTTTGCATTAAGAGTAGCCTAGTTTCACGTTTAGTACATTTTGCTTACTAATTATTTAAAATAGTATAAAAGTACTGTACATATGTAATTAAAAATGTTTTCATTATGATATTATTAATTTTACTTTAGTAAAAAGATCTGAGTTCTTCCTCCACTGGTAGAGATTAGAGGAATTAAGAGTAAAAATAGAAGATAATAAGGTTTTGTCAGTGACACTTTTTATATATTTATTGATACAAGTTATGACTAAATTAAAAGACAAAGTCGTCATTAGTGAAGATTATGCAACAGTATTTAGAATAGAATATAATATAATATAACATGCAATGCAAACTAGTTTGGTTACAGCTCAGCTGTATAATTCTCATTATATCATTCCCCCTGCCTCCATTACATATCTGTGTCACACAAGTGTTTGATTACCACATTTGAGTGATCATTGCAAAACGTGTTTATAAAATATATTTATTCTGTTTATAGCTACTGTGTAAAATACCCATCAAAAGTTTGTACACACCAATAGGAAAGTGTCCAAACTTTTGACTGGTATATTGTACTATAATACACATAAATAATATTGCTACTGTATTATAATATACACATAAATAATATCGGCCGATATATCGGTATCAGGCTTTTTTTACTCCCTAATATCGGTATCGGCATCGGGCCCCAAAAATCCATATCGGTCGGGCTCTAGTATGTACATATATATGTATATACTGTGTATATATATATATATTTTTGCTCTTTTGCAATTTATGTGCATATATGTGTGTGTATATATATATTTTTTTTGCAATTTATGTGCATATATATATATATATTTTTTTTTTGTTCTTTTGCAATTTATGTACATATATATGTGTGTGTGTATAAATATATATATTTTTTTTCCTTCTTTTTTTCATCTTCTCTCAACAACCTCACCATCTCTACTAGATAATTTAAACTTTTTCCTTTCTTTTTTTTTTTCTTATTACATCTTTGATTATTACTATTGCAGTAACACTTTACAATAAGGGCTCATTAGATAACATTAGCTAATGTATTAACATGAACTAACCATGAGCAATACATGTGTTACAGTATTTGGTAATGTTAGTTGATAAAAATAAAGCTGTTCATTGTTCGTTCATGTTAGTTCACAGTGCATTAACTAATGTTAACAAGATTTTAATTAAGTATTAGTAAATGTTGATGTAAAACAAAGATTAATAAATGCTGTATAAGTGCAGTTCATTATTAGTATATATATATATACACTCACCTAAAGGATTATTAGGAACACCTGTTCAATTTCTCATTAATGCAATTATCTAATCAACCAATCACATGGCAGTTGCTTCAATGCATTTAGGGGTGTGGTCCTGGTCAAGACAATCTCCTGAACTCCAAACTGAATGTCAGAATGGGAAAGAAAGGTGATTTAAGCAATTTTGAGCGTGGCATGGTTGTTGGTGCCAGACGGGCCGGTCTGAGTATTTGACAATCTGCTCAGTTACTGGGATTTTCACGCACAACCATTTCTAGGGTTTACAAAGAATGGTGTGAAAAGGGAAAAACATCCAGTATGCGGCAGTCCTGTGGGCGAAAATGCCTTGTTGATGCTGGAGGTCAGAGGAGAATGGGCCGACTGATTCAAGCTGATAGAAGAGCAACTTTGACTGAAATAACCACTCGTTACAACCGAGGTATGCAGCAAAGCATTTGTGAAGCCACAACACGCACAACCTTGAGGCGGATGGGCTACAACAGCAGAAGACCCCACCGGGTACCACTCATCTCCACTACAAATAGGAAAAAGAGGCTACAATTTCCAAAAGCTCACCAAAATTGGACAGTTGAAGACTGGAAAAATTTTGCCTGGTCTGATGAGTCTCGATTTCTGTTGAGACATTCAGATGGTAGAGTCAGAATTTGGCGTAAACAGAATGAGAACATGGATCCATCATGTCTTGTTACCACTGTGCAGGCTGGTGGTGGTGGTGTAATGGTGTGGGGGATGTTTTCTTGGCACACTTTAGGCCCCTTAGTGCCAATTGGGCATCGTTTAAATGCCACGGCCTACCTGAGCATTGTTTCTGACTATGTCCATCCCTTTATGGCCACCATGTACCCATCCTCTGATGGCTACTTCCAGCAGGATAATGCACCATGTCACAAAGCTCGAATCATTTCAAATTGGTTTCTTGAACATGACAATGAGTTCACTGTACTAAAATGGCCCCCACAGTCACCAGATCTCAACCCAATAGAGCATCTTTGGGATGTGGTGGAACGGGAGCTTCGTGCCCTGGATGTGCATCCCACAAATCTCCATCAACTGCAAGATGCTGTCCTATCAATATGGGCCAACATTTCTAAAGAATGCTTTCAGCACCTTGTTGTATCAATGCCACGTAGAATTAAGGCAGTTCTGAAGGCGAAAGGGGGTCAAACACAGTATTAGTATGGTGTTCCTAATAATCCTTTAGGTGAGTGTATATACTAATACAGTGCTTAGAATAAGTGAACCCATGCTAAAGTTGACTATAATAAATCATCTTTTGGAAATTGATCTTAATGCCTTAATTTTAAAAAATGTGGAAAAATCCAACTTTTAAGGACACTAATTTTCTTTGTGAATGAATAATGTATCGTAAGTAAATAAATATCATCACACACCCTTCACCACACCTAGAGTCGGCATGGGTTTATTTCAGTTAGCCTAATCGCTGTTGATTAGCATTGAGAGATGATCTTATGGAAAGTTCCCCATGCCGATCTCCTAGCCAACATTTATTTATTTACGATATATTATTCATTCTCAAAGAAAGTTGGTGTCCTTAAAGCTTGGATTTTTCCACATTTTTTCAAATTAAGGCATTAAGATCAATTTCTAAAAGATGATTTATTATTCCTCTTTTTAGTCAACTTTAGAATGGGAGTGTTCACTTATGCTGAGCACTGTATTAGTATATATATATTAAAGAGCATTGTTCTACATGTATATTAGGAAACTTATAATCGAGATATACACATACTCAGCACAATTCACATAATTATACGTACATCCTATTTTCTGTTTTATGTGTTTTGTATTGATGGTATCATCTATGTATTTTTATCTTATGTTCTGCTTTAATAATAATAATAAAGAGAAAAAAACTAGAGATTAAAGCTTAGTTTACGTCAGCCTCCCCGAAACCTCGCCCACCAAACCCACGGCAGCCAATCAGAAGTCAGATGATGTGATTGACAGGCAGAGAGTGTTTTCTGAGCAAGCACTAGTATTATGACTGAATGTAATGTGTGTCTTGTGAATGTTTGTTCTCCAGTTACGGTGTCCTGCTGTGGTCAATCATCACTGGGAAGGAGCCGTACGGCGGTGAGCATCACGAGCCACTCTTTCCCCTCCACACACACACACACATCGGCTTTCAAATATTAAAAATTATCGGTTATCGGCTTTCAAATATAAAGAATGATCGGTTATCGGCTTTCAAATATAAAGAATGATCGGTTATCGGCTTTCAAATATAAAGAATTATCGGTTATCGGCTTTCAAATATAAAGAACTATCGGTTATCGGCTTTCAAATATAAAGAACTATCGGTTATCGGCTTTCAAATATAAAGAACTATCAGTTATCGGCTTTCAAATATAAAGAACTATCGGTTATCGGCTTTCAAATATAAAGAACTATCGGTTATCGGCTTTCAAATATAAAGAACTATCGGTTATCGGCTTTCAAATATAAAGAACTATCGGTTATCGGCTTTCAAATATAAAGAACTATCGGTTATCGGCTTTCAAATATAAAGAACTATCGGTTATCGGTTATCGGCTTTCAAATATAAAGAACTATCGGTTATCGGCTTTCAAATATAAAGAATTATCGGTTATCGGCTTTCAAATATAAAGAACTATCGGTTATCGGCTTTCAAATATAAAGAACTATCGGTTATCGGCTTTCAAATATAAAGAATGATCGGTTATCGGTAGGGGTGTGACGAGACGCTTATCTCACGAGACGAGACTAGACACGAGATTGAGTTCACGAGAACGAGACGAGACGAGATTTTTGCACAATTTTTCAGAAATCCTCAATGACTAAATTCATGACTGGAAAAATAGTATGCAGGTGCATTTTGCAATTTTTTAACTAATAATCTTCTAATGCATGTCATTTCAGGTCTACTTTATGAGTATGAATTATCAAATGCATTGAAAGAAAACAATATACAAGCACTGTAAAAGGTGTTTATTGACTGGCTTTTCTCCTGTTTGATTTCACATGAGTCTCTTCAGACCTTACTGTACATGTAAGAGCTTTCAGAACTTCTGATTGAGGCTGTGTGTGACCTAACTGAACTCATTGAAGTCTGAAGTGCAAACAATAAGTGCAAGTGCAACCATAATCAAAGTTAGCACACAGACTCTTTATAATTGTTTTGAAATTGCTGTTTTATTTTTCACCAGCAGTTATAGGGTTAATATGGCGAGTTCGGAAAAGGTAGAGAGAAACGAGGCTGGTGTGTTTGTCTCTATGTTGTTCTTGTGTTCCGATTTAAGTTCAGAAACAGAGCCTCCTATGTCTGTTGCCCTTAAGACATTACAGTGCTCTCTAAATATTCGAAGTGCAAACAGAGACCATAGCCGCAAATAAACAGTCCAGAGATGGGTATTGGGAGACGGACAATGAAGCCTAATTTGTGCGCAATGCACATCAGGGAGCTTGCGTTTTACTTTCAAATTGGTGATCGCGCGTGTATAGGGAGCAGCGGTGCTGAGCTGCATTTTACAAGATAAGACATTTATCAGACGTTTAGTCTATGTTGCGCAACGAATCCTCCGCCATCGTCACGCGATCAGTGAACTGTGATTCGTGCTGCACTGATTGCAACGGCAACTCGTGCTGGATGAGCAGAGCAGACTTTTACATTCGTTTATAATGGTTATTATTTATTATAAAAACAGCAAAACGATAGTTTAGGCGAATGTCAGTGTACAGTAGCGGTGGAATATTGTATTGTAATCTCACCCTCACGCTCAGTCATGGCGAGATCGCGAGACAGCTTTTCAATCAACGGGAAATCTTGTCATATTTTAGTCTCGCGAGATCTCGTGGCACGAGATCTCGTCACACCCCTAGTTATCGGCTTTCAAATATAAAGAATTATCGGTTATCGACTTTCAAATATAAAGAATTATCGGTTATCGGCTTTCAAATATAAAGAATGATCGGTTATCGGCTTTCAAATATAACAAATTATCGGTTATTGCTTTCAAATATAAAGAATGATCGGTTATCGGCTTTCAAATATAAAAAATTATCGGTTATCGGCTTTCAAATATAAAGAATGATCGGTTATCGGCTTTCAAATATAAAAAATTATCGGTTATCGGCTTTCAAATATAAAGAATTATCGGTTATCGGCTTTAAAATATAAAGAACGATCGGTTATCGGCTTTCAAATATAAAGAATTATCGGTTATTGCTTTCAAATATAAAGAATGATCGGTTATCGGCTTTCAAATATAAAAAAATATTGGTTATCGGCTTTCAATTATAAAAAATGATCGGTTATTGCTTTCAAATATAAAGAATGATCGGTTATCGGCTTTCAAATATAAAAAATTATCGGTTATCGGCTTTCAAATATAAAGAATTATCGGTTATCGGCAAATATAAAGAATTATCGGTTATCCGCTTTAAAATATAAAGAATTATCGGTTATCGACTTTCAAATATAAAGAATTATTGGTTATTGCTTTCAAATATAAAAAATTATCGGTTATAGGCTTTCAAATATAAAGAATTATCGGTTATCGGCTTTCAAAT